GGTCAGAGTCCGAGTTCGAGTTCGAACGAGAATGAGTCTTGGCTCTCGATGGGGTTGATAAGGCAGAAGTATCGACGGGAGGGTAATCCTCCTCCTCATCCGACTCGGAGGATAGTGGCTGGGGAAGATAAGTGTGGCTGCTGTTCTGTCGGAGCTTCGGAATAAGAGGGAGATTCATCAAGGGAACAGAGGACACTCGAGGAGAGTCTTGGTCGAATGGCTCATTCGTCGGGTTTACGGGAGGAACATGCTCTTTGGGAACCTTCTCACGGGGTGTCTCTAGAGCCTTTTCGGTGCGTTTCAGATCACCATGCTCTCGAGTAGGGGTTGATGGAGGATCGTCCTGTCCCACGCGAGGCTCTTTCGGTGTGCTTGGGCTTGCTGGGGAGTTTTCTCCATAACGCGAAATTCTCTTGGCCTTGGACCGTTTGAGGCCAGTAGATCCCTTATCATCGTTATTACCAACTTTGCGAGGGTCCCGGGCGTGAAGAATAGACGACTGCGGCGAGGATTTCGCCGGAGACTCTTTGGTTGGGCTAGTCATATCTGAGTCTCGAGTAATCGCGGTGTTCAAAGAGAGTCGCGATTCTGTGGCCAAGGAAGACTCAATAGTGCTCGGATCAGATAACTGCTCTCTTGGTGAAGAACGACGTAAGGTACGGGACGTCGCCCTCTCCCCGATTGGGACGTCTGCGTTGGTAGGGCTTGGGGGCATCTTGGGGACGGGGACACTGTCGGTGTTGGTTGGAGCCTGCACACGTTGCCTATGCTTCGCCCGCTCAATGAAGCTCTGGCTTCGCGAGACAGTAGGCGGCTTAGGTTCCATCCCCAGCATCTGAACCCATTCAAACCCAACCTCATCCTCCTCAATGCGAAGCAAGAGCAGCTCCTGCCATGGTGTCTGCTGTCCAGGATCACTGCGCAACATAACCACAATCTCCCCTTTCACATCGCCGTTGCGAGCAGACACATATGCGAGCTCTATGGGAGGAAAGAGAAGCCATCGATCCGCGTGATCGATCTCACAGACAAGCAAGTCACCTCCCAGGGCGTTGCCAGCGCCATTGTCTCTCAATAGCAGCTCCGCTCGGCAATCGATGACCTGGCCAGAGGAGTGGTATACGGAGAGACTGAAGAAGTCTCTAGCCCTGACGCGTCGGTCCTTTCTGACGTTCACGCCCGCCAGCGGCCCTAGTGTGGCAGGGTCGCGAGCGCGAGTTGGGTCGACGTGCGCAGCAGATTCATCTTCGAGCCTCGCGCGCTCTTCCCGCGCGCGGCGCCGCGCTTCTGTGACGAGCTCCTGGAATATCATTGCCGTTTCCTCTGCCTTTGCGGACGGTTGAAGGATGTTGATCCCCTTGAACGTCTTTGCCAGGTATTTTAGGCGAACAAGAGGCCGTTTCAGCAGATATGCGACGTCGACCTTTTCCCCGTTACTGTCGACCACGTCTCCGTTCTCATCTCTTTCCATTCCTTCGTCGAGGCTCTTGGTCTCTGCATCGTTTGAGGCCTCCCCTTCTTCCAGCGGAGCCAAGTTCACAATGACATCCTTGAAACCCAACCTCCAAGCCTTGAGGTAAACCTTGTAGACTCGCTGCGCTCCGGTCGCCCAATTCAGTAATGCCTCCGCATCCTCCCTGGGTACCCGCTTGTGCAGTGATTTCAAACGCTCAATGGCAACCCCCATATCAACGATCGGTTGGCTAAAGTTCGCTTCATCCTGCGGGTCGATGGAAGGGCGGAAGAGACCAGCGGCGATGGCCGAGTCGGATTTTGAAAGAACCGATGTCAGAAGCACGGGAATGACACCCCCGACTAATGTCTTGAGCTCGCGCATATATTTCGTCTCGTCTGCCACGAGCTCCTTCAAGATATCGGGTACCGTCGCGTTGGCAATGCGACTTTTGTTCGTTCGAATGCTCCGGGCAGATCGGATGCTCCCGCTCCTACCAGTGGGAGCGGAAAGAACCGAAATCAAGTCATCGTGGGTGGTGAGACGTCGTTGCAGCTGAGAGATGATCGAAGGGAGAGAGTCTGGGTCAAACCTGTCCCTTTCTTCGTCGTCCTCCTTTTGAGTTGAAGAGGAGGTTCGTCTGTTTGACACAACTCCGGAGACCGGTGCTCGCGACTGCCCATTCGTGCCAGTGCTCATTGACTCCACCGAAACAATTGTCGATAGTCGGTGCGGTCCTGTTGCCGGAAAGGGCTTTTTGCGGGAGACAGGAACGGGAGCGTTGTTTCCAGATACCTCCGAGCCTTCCGATAGAGTTCCTATCTCCGAAAGTTCCTCCTTGGTATCATCCACTCGAGTGAGCTCTTCTACAATGGAAGATGCCCGACTGTGTCTGTAGTCGCCTGATCGCTTCCCGCTGGCAGCTGAAGCAGTGTCCTCGGTCGACTTCGCCGGCTCATCCAGTGACGACTCACCCCTGCTTCGTACTCGTCGCTTGCGCGTGCTCCTTCGCCGATGATGGGCTTGAGGCGAGCGGTCGGAAACTCGGTCCCGGTCTTCCTCCTGTTTGTGGGGCTGCTTGGGCCTGGTCCTGGTATTCAACGGCGCAGGGATCTCCACCCCCGGTTCCATTTCGTTGTCCATGAAGGGATCCGGGGTGTCCGAGAGCCACGCCTCGATCTTGGTGCCCCGGGTCGGGGTAGGCTTAGGTGGTTCCGGTTTTGGGGCGGATTCCGGCCGTCCAAACATCTTTCTCGATTCATCCAACATGTGCCCAAATATCCCATTCTTTGGGGGTTTCGGGGGCTCGCGAGTTTCGCGACCCTTCGGCGTCGGAGGCGCGCCCCTTGCCCGTCGTTTGGACAGTTCCGAAAAATCGGCGTCGCTGGCCGCCCATTCCGAGTCGTATTCCATGCCAGCGTCCTTCTTCCCGGCGCTCTCGGAGGGTTCTGACTTGGCGCCCGTGTGCGGCCGGTCAGCCGTGCGCGGGCGCGAGCCTGATCGCGAGGACCCATTGTGGGAAAACGTCCCCTCCTTCAAAGCCTTGCTGTCCAACCGCGCCTCCACGTCTCGCGATGCTCGCGATTTCCGCCGCTCGCGGGTGACTGACTCGGAGACCGTGCTCGCTCTCTCCCTTGCTCTCTCCCTGCTGCGCGACCGCAACTCACGAGCGGTATCCACCGTCTTGTCGTGACTTTTGCGCCCCCGCGGCGAGGTCTGCATCCCATCGTTGGTCGTGTACTCGGAGATGCGCTTGGGAGGCGCGAACTTGGGGTTGGCGCCGGTGTTGATGGAGGAGATCGAACTGCGATTTAGCTTCCAGTGCTCGTCGCTCACGAGCCGTTTTCGCGGGGTGCTCTTGCTTCGTTTATGCGTCTTGGTATCATTTTCCGGTTTAGAGCTGGACTCCACCGCGGAGTTCTCGTCATCTTCGTAGTAGACCACCTCGTCGGCCGTGATTACCCCACCCCCCTGCTGTTGCCATTTGCGAATCTTGGAGCGGACGGAATTGGTATCATGGACTCCCAGCGGCTCACCGATATCCAGCGGTTTCAGCTTGGTTGGGGACGGGGAGGATCTGGCAGCAGCCCCTCCTCCCCCGCGGTTGGAGGGGCGATGTGGTGTTGCAGGAGACGGCATCGATACCTGCGATCGAGAGAATCTGTTTAGTACGATGCTGGGAGACTGCAGCCAGCATCCAGAATATGGGCTGCTGGAGAGGGGGAAGGTATGAAAGATGTATTGTTTCTCTTTGTTGGGGCACGACGTCACCGGGAGCGCCTTGTTTGTTTATGCGGAGTGGATGAGGGGGAAATCGATTGATCGGTGGGTCGTAACCAAGCACTTACCACGGTTTAAAGCATATCCTAGGTTCTTCAATCGCTGTGCTGGTGGAGATATGCTCAGGAATGTCACAAGAAATCAACACACCGAGAGATCGATGTCAAGAGGAAGAAAATGGAGGGGAGGGAATTAAACAATGACTTGGCGATGATCCGCAGGAACAGGCGGTCAAAAAGCATGCAGAAAATAAATAAAAAAAAGACAAAAACACGATAGGCAGAAAAGAAGAAGAAGAACAAGAAACAGAGTGGCCAGCCGTGGGGTTCCCACTCGTTTTGACTGAATGATCCCAATGATCCAGTTGATCAGCCTCAGCTCAAGTGGCAGAGTCAGGTGGGAGAGGAGTCATCCCCAATGCGATCACAAGCACCACCGAGATGATTAAACGACCGTGAGGAGTCTGATGATTCTTTTCTTGCTTCTCTCTCTGTCGCCCACTTGTTGTGTCTCGGCCGTGGTTGAATTTCTGCCCGGCGCATCCACAGTTAGGTTGACTGGAGTTGGTCTATACCAAGTGACTTCCTACCATTGGTAAAGCACAGGCTGCCGGGGAAACCAAGACGATCAGCAAGATCCGTCGGTCGCCCAAATGGTTCTCATTTGCTTGGCTGATCCACGGGGGTTATTTTATTGGACATTTCCCGCCCACTGGGATAAATTGCTTGGAGTTGCTGGCCAGATCGCGACCGACTGAGTCTTATTTCTTGTTTCGATTGTTCTTGTTGTTGTTGTTGCTTTTAAACTTACTGTTGTGGTCATAACACCCGCTGACTACTGTGCATAACGTACAACCATCCTCTCTCTATCCTCTCCATGGAGGCTTATAGGAATAAATGCTTGATCTCCTCGACGTTATCTCCACATCGCAGCTGGTTGGACTCCTTGATCGAGTCTTCACTTGTTCTATTTTAAGACGGCACGGACGGCACGGACACGCCACTCCAACACCCCCCGACAGCAATAGTTCATGTACTCGGAAAAGTCTGCCACACCACCTGCGTCCCCTTCATTTACTTTGTCAAACCAGTCTCCGTCCGAGGCGTCGAGTTTCCGCATCATAGGTAAAAGACAACAGTGATACATTGTTCGTCCATATCCCGGACGGAATTTGGGAGATGCCCGGGTCTCAATTTCTCAAAGGCCAGCCCCCATCTCCCACTCGTTGTCGACCCACGTCACGGAGTGGGCCAAACGAGGCAATCCATACCCAACCGCCTTTGCAGAACGATTAGGCAGTGCAACGATCGTCTATTCTAGACTTATTAAATAACACTATCCTTCCAGAGATGTGCATCATCTTGACATCAAGAAGTTTCACAGAGCAATATCCATGATGGATCAAAAACGTCATTGGAGTTTACGCTCCTTCGACAGGTCCGTCAGTCTCTGGAAAGCGTTCGACACCGCCCTCACGCTCTGCACAAAGTAATCTAGAAAAGCGATCAGCAGCGGTTGCGGCAACAGAAACTGCGAAGGACTTACAAAGCGGAATGACGATCCAGATGAAGTTCATCAGGAAATAGTACACCCAAAAGTAGTAGGGCTCTGGCCGGGAATACGGACGATCATTGGCGTAGTGGTCGAAGAGGCTGGTCGCATAGTACAACGAATCACCGTAGAGATGCGCCATACAAGCCGTCATCTGCAGCGGATGCCGCAGAGAGCTGCGCGAAAAGATGGTATACGCCACCCAGAGGCACAGTGGGCCCCAGAGGAGCTGCGGGTTCCGGATCAGTCCTGATGAAAACGCTTCATTCAAATTTACATGGGCCTCGACGCATAACATACCACGGTCATGGTCTCCATACACAGAACCAAGGTGTCCGAGGTGAGATATCGCGAATCGGACAGGGCATACTCTTTCCACAACTGACCGATGAGGTCTTGGGCAGATGCCATGCGATCATGATTGAGCATAAAGTACCCTTCAAAGACGCAATGGATGGCTCCCGCTGATGGATTTCCGGCGTCAGTTTGTCATGGCAATATAGTAGACCATCAGGAATACTAACAAAGTACAAACCACAAAATTGCTAACCGGTCTGCATGATTCAAACTGGGCCTTGCTATCGTGACCAGTGTAAACGTTGCTCCTAGTAAACTCATGGCGACAATGCTTGCGGCACCCAGGAGATTAAAGATCGTGGCTTCATTAGCCACATACCCCTTGATTTGCGCATCTAGCGGGTAATACGGATGTGGCATGCCATCAAGAGACATTTTTCCTTTTCAACCAATATACAACAATGAAATTGTGGAACTGCGAGTGGATAGTTCCAGATCGATCGCTGGGGAGAAATCAACAAATGTATGGAATCAGAGTACCCGTAAATACCTTAAATCTCAGGAAGAGAGACTAACCCAGTCGAGCTAGTCCCCATTCCTCAGGCAGACACCACTCGACTCCTCACTCCTCAGGCACACCTGTCTCGGCCAAGCGCAAGTTGACGACAGCTTCTCCATCCTCCCTCTAAATGCCATCACGACTGTGATCCACCCTCTCCTCCGATCACTCTATGGAGGCTCCAATTTTCTATCTTGTATAGCTTTACTGCAATGGCTCACGGACCCTTCAGAAGAAGACCCCTGGGGCTTGACCTGCCCCGCACGTCGTCGGTTGAGTCGCCGCCCGGCGTTGCGGCGCTCTTCGTCATCCGCTTCGATATCAAAGCTGGGTAAGTCCATCTATTCGAATGCTTCCCCAATGGTGGTCTTCTGTTGCGATAGTTTTGCTGATCGTTGTTTGTGTGTAGCTATGTGATATCTTGGAAGCGTACCATCCCCGGTGGTAAGTCGCACATACAGAATGCTATACTGGTGGTCGGGAGACTAATGGAGTTGGTTGCATAGTTGACGTCGAAGGGGCTGTCGAGTACAAATCGCTCCCGTCGGGCCTACATAATGTCTCGGAAGATCTAGTGTATGTTGAACTTGATTATAAGTCTAGTCTAGGGGCTGACTGGTCTTCTCGCGCAGCTATTTCGTCCACGAACAGTATGCCGGCATCAGCGCATTTATCAACCAGCCGGCCGAGGAGGCTGAGCGGAATGCGAAGATGTTCGCCATCGGAGTCTTGGTTCCGTTGAGCTCGGGGAGACTAGGGAAGAGCTGGCGACATGTCCCCAAGCTCAAGGAACTGGCCCGGTGAGCCCCGACTCCTGAGGAATCACATGCGGACCAAGCTGATATGGAGATGCGTCCTTAGACAATACGCGGACGACATGTCGAAAACACAGCCACTGTCGGATTACTGGGAAGCCAATGAACTCCGCGGGGGAGACTCTCCGGTTCAACAACCCGAATCCCCTTTGGAATCACCTCTGAGCCTCCGGTTAAGAGCGCATGGAGACAGGTCGGAGAATGCGCATCGCAGCCGTGCATTTAGTGACGCCATTGTGTTGGAATCGCCCAGGCCGGCCCTGACGCCTTTCCATCCAGCCTCTTCGCTCCCCGATTTTCTCGATGCCTTTGGTCCTCTCGTCTTTCCCTTGTATAGAGCAGCGCTACTCCGCAAAAGAATCCTATTCATGGCGGAGGCGCCCGTCAATATACCCTGTAACTATGGTACGGCTGTCCCGTCCGGGATCGCAATTGCAAGTCGTCAGCTAACGCAGCACCAGTGTATGATTTGTCTTTATTAGCATCGCTTCCTAATTCCATCCTCCCATTGCTCCCACCGGCCGGTACCCCGCCTCCCCGGCCGCGCCCTCTCTTCAACGTCGGCATCCACGACATTCCATACCTCTCTTCTTTCGTGGGCAAGACACCCAACTCCGACCGCGATGCTGCGTGGATCGCATGCAGCACAGACAGTGTCCTGACAATGAAGTCCGACTTGTTCGACGTCCTGGTCACATTGCCCGCGCCCCATTCCCAACACGCCGCCGAAAAGACATTCCCCCAAATCTCCATCTTGCCAACGCCCACTGCACAGCACAACACGTCTCAGGCCATCGAATTGCGAGCGACCCAACGCGACGCAAGACGCTACCTTACCCTCCGCCGAGCCATCCACCATCTCTCTCGGGACGAGAGTCGCCAGTCCGAAGAAGGCGAGGGCTACGATGACGAATCAGACGCCGCGTCAACTTTCTCCTCCAGCCCCGTCGTCGAGCCTCTCTCCTGGACCCGACTAGCCTACACCTCCTTCATCTGGTGGGCGTCGGCCGGAGAAAAGCGCGACGGCCTAACAGAAGAAGAAGAAGAGCGCCAACTCGAACAAGACACCCGCCTACTCGCCAGCGTCGACAATCTCCCCAGCCCACCCTCGGGCTCCGCCGGCCGCCGGAGCATCCAACCCGCCGAGGCGACGCGAGAACCGCCCGAGATCGCCCTCGTCGCCTACTTCCGCCGCCTGACCACCCAAATCTTTGTCACTCTGTCCGACGTAGTCGCCCGTCAGGACAGCAACAACGATCCCGATGACGACGTCGCAAGCGACGCCGGCTCCGCTTCCTATCGGGACAACCCAGACGAGGAGTCCGACACATTAGCCAGACAACCCACCCATGATAGCATGGATGGCGACAACCACAACAGCAACGACGACAACGACAACGACAATGCCCCCCTGCTACCACCCCAGGACAGTAACAATAACAACCCCGACGACGACCCCGTCACAATCACAACAGAGGACATGACCGAAATGGGCCTGGACGTATGGAGCGGCGCAGACCGCATCTTCGTCGAGCAGCTCGTCCGCACCTGGTGGAACCGCCCGGCTTATATCGACAGCGCCAGGATCAGATGCTGCGGAGTCTCGATCTTGTAAATGATATCTGTCCGGCTATCATCTTTCCGCTCTGTTCTTCCTTCTTTATCTGTCAGGCAGTGTCCATCTACCCCAATTCTAGCTGGCGGGAATATATCAATGATATATCTGTTTCGTTTCCTTTTTTCCATTCTATCATTCGTCTGTTGGTCTATCGGGTGTGGTATGGTTTTTTTCGTTTCTTATTGTTTGTATACTGGGCGGACACAGTACATCTATAGCGCAATTTATACATTTTCTAAAACTCTCCATATTGTGGACACTCTTCCATGTCACTTCTAGTAATAGTAGTAGTAGTAGTGGTGGTGGTGATGGTGGTAGCACCACGACCTACGAAGATCTCCAACACCAAGCCCCAACTGAAACAATTTACCCTGATCAGAACTAATCCGTTCATGTGAATGTAAAAAAATTCTATAAAAAAAAAAAGGTATGAAAAGAAGACGATCGAAGATATATATGTACAGCGAAATCAACTCTAAACCAACAAAGGAAAAATCCAGTAGCAGGATCTAAAAAAGAGCGTCAAAGATGCATACGAACAAGATATGCGAGAGGAACTGGAGGTAAAAGAATGCAAAGTATTAAGTGGATCAATACCTATATAGATAGATAGATTTGTCCATGGTGACAAATTGGGGGAAAGGAAGTAAAATGAAGAAAGCATTGAGCATCATTAACAAAAACTTGAAATGAGATGGAAAATGAGAAATGAGAAGAGAAGACAAACGCGTAAAATATGCAGATGATACCACCATAAACAAAAAAATATATATACCAAACACCCCCGGAAATAACGCCTCATTGCTTGGAGCATCAGGGGTATCTATCATCATAAGGAGTAGGCGGCTCAAATGGTTTCTTTTTTTCTTATTTTTTTAGGCCAGGCCATTCCGTCGAGGTCGTATAGCGAGCATGAGAACATAAGAGAAAAGAAAAAAGAAAAGACACTACTTGTGGTGCATCCGGATCGGTGCACTCATATCCCGGCGGCGTCTGATGTCCTCTCTTGGGTCTGAGTTCTGAACTCCCGGTATCCGTCGTGCACCCCGGATCGGAGTGATGCCCATGCCACCGGATCGGAAGGTGCTTTCGCTGGCGCTGACAGACCTTGGCATGTTGTTGCTGCTATTGCTGCTGGTGCTGGCGCTGTTGTTGCTATTGCTATTGTTGAGGTTTGTGCGGCTCCTTCGCGCCTTTATCTGAGCGAGTGCGTTTTCCCGGTTGATTGGCATCTGCGCTGGGGGGTCATCAAGGCGCAAGGGAATTTTTCTAATGTTTTGGTGGCTCTCGGCGTGCTGAGAGAGGTTCAACTGTGGCGGTACAGGGTCAAACGGGACGTCGATAATGGCTGGTGTGGGAGAGCCAGGAGGCGACGCTTCGGTTTGAAAAATCTCAGGCGGCGTGTCTTGTCGGGCGTTTTGAACTTTCGCCAGAGGGCTGCCCGGTAGGCGTTGCTCCTGGGAGGCGGCGGCGAGTCGGACTGGAGATGGGATGGTATGGAATGTCCCCGTCTCAGGTGAAAACGTGATCAAAGGCTCTCCGGGCTCATCGTCGTCATCATCGCTTTGCTCGTCCGTCTGAGCGGGCTCAGGCTCTTCAACAATCTCATCGGGACTGGACGAACGGCTGATGTTCTTGGGCTCGGCAAGCATGCGATGCTCGTTGAATTCTTGCGTAAGTTCAATGAGTTGTAGGGGGTTGGGCTTCTGGGCTTTAGCGGCGTTTGTGTTATATGAGTTCTTCGGGGTGCGGTCTGGTGAAGAGCCTCTGTCGAACTGTTGGGGCTGCGCTTCTTCGGGCAATTGCGAGTTGGCATTCTTGGATGGCCGCGGAGTTTCCTTTGAAATTTCGATCGTGTCCACAAGATGTGGCGTGTTGGAGTTCTCTATGTTTTGGGTGCTTCTGGCCTCCTTTTCTGCGTGCTCCAGCAAGCGACAGGTGCATCGCTTGAAATGGCATTCCAGTTTCAAGAATTCGATCATGTCTTCGGCATCGGATCTCAGTCGCTGCTCCATCTGGAGAGCGCTTTCCAGTTGATTCACCATTTCCGAACGTGCGTCGTACAGAAAAATATCCTGGTCCTCCTTGACAGCTGTGATATCCGACAATCTTGGTCGCTTCGGGGGGGTGGGCGTCGCATCGACGGTATCATGAGATTGGTTGGTCATTGGCGAGGCAGCTGGTCCATCGGCTGGTCGCTTAGGCCTCCGTGGAGTGGGCGTCGCGAACATGGCGAGATCTCCCTCCGCCAGCGACATTCTCCCGACGTTATCTTGGTGCATCTCGTGGGCTTGTGCTTGCAGACTTTCGGAATGGTTGTTCGTTTCGGCCGACCGCAGGCGTTCCTTGACGGTTTCCAGCTCTTCTGTCAGACCAGCCAGAGTGTATGCCCGCTCAAATGCTTCTTGCCTGGCCTGCTCCTTCGCGCTTCGCTCATGATGGAGCTCATCCTTGAGTACTCTAGATTCCGCCTTGGCATGCTTCAGCTCCTCTTGTGTCTTGACTAGCGTTGAACCGGCGCGGAAAGCTTCTTTTCGCGCTTTTCGAATTTCCTTTTCGAAAATGCTTCTCTCGTTGGCCTGGCGCTCCTTGGTCGTGTGCAGTTCTTCCAACAATGACTCGAGTCTCTCGCTTATCCGACGCTCGCGGGATTGGGCCTCGGACAGTTGAGTAGAGACGTGAGCCAAAGAGGATTCCGCTTCCTCGCGGCCCAAAATGGCGCGCTGTAGCGCCGCTGTATTCGCTGCCGATGTCTGGGCTGCGCTTGCCGGACTACCGTTGCGGGAGAGGCCGTTGAGATAGGCGACTTTGGCTTGCACGTCAGACATCCCCCTGCTCTTCCGTTGCGTAGCCCTGAGTTCCGGGTAGACCGGCGAGCCTGATCCTGGTTGTTGATTCATCCGCTCGGGCGATAGGGGGTTGAGGGCTTTGGACGGGCTCTTAGATGGGCTCTTCGAGGGGCTCGATCTCGCGCTAGATGGAGAATCCATCGCGCCAGGTGGTGCTATGATAATGTTCTCAGTTAGTAGAATCAGATTGGTGTTGTTATTGTCAGGCGAGCATGGTAGACAATCTAGATGATTGAAATAGGAAGGGTGGAACGACTGGTTCGTTGTTCATCGACCGTTGTGGAGATGTTTTTCTTTCTCGGCACTCTGGCGTTGTTGATCCCTAATCAGTGACGCAGGCAACAAACACCTGGTGGCCTCGCGTCCGAAGGTCAGGTGACCGTTGCCCAGGACAACAGCGCTAGTCCGCATCGAGATTGTATCTCTCACGTGTCTGTCACCCCGCGCTAGGCCCGATCGGGACAGGTCCAAAACGTGGAGGCCTGAGGTGTCACCGCCGGGCTTTCTGCGCTGTGATGCCAGTGATGCCAGTACCGGGTCGTCATCATTCGTACGACCGAATATAAAATTCAAGGATGCGCGAAATTATCACACTCCAACTAGGACAGCGCGCCAACTACCTGGCGACACATTTCTGGAATCTTCAGGTATATCGTCTTTTTCTCCAGTCCCGCCTCTTTCTCACGTGGCACTAACATGCGGGACAGGAATCATATTTCACCTACGATGAAGAAGAGTCCCCTGTGGATCATGATGTTTTATTCCGATCTGGGACTGGAGCTGATGGCTCTGAGACCTACACGCCCAGGACCCTGATCTATGATTTGAAAGGTGCTTTCGGGACCCTTCGAAAGTATAACGCACTCTATCAATTAAGCGAAGATGTAAACCCCGGGCAAGGGTTATGGTACGCGACCAAATGCGATCCTTTGCCACCCACTGGATCGCAGCAATCGGTAGTCTCAAGGACTAGGGTATCTGCAGGTGCTAACATGTATGCAGGGATGGACGAGAGATCATACAACAGCAGCCGTCTATTCCTCAAAGCGACTATCAGAAGAACCTGGACGCAGGGCTTCCTGCCCCGCCACTGTCCGCCGAGACAGTCCGGTACTGGTCTGATTACAATAGACTCTTCTACCATCCCCGTTCAATTCTTCAACTGAATGACTATGAACTGAACTCCAAAGTCATGCCTTTCGAAGATTGGGAAATGGGAGAGGAACTGTTCAATAATATTGACAAGGAGCATGACCTGCTGGACCGGGATGTACGACCATTTGCCGAGGAATGTGACCAGATGCGTGGGCTGCAGATCTTCGCAGGAGCCGACGATGCGTGGGGCGGTTTCACGGCTAAGTATGTGGATAGGCTGAGGGACGAATACGGCAAAAAGGCAATGTGGGTGTGGGCTATCGAAGATGGTGCCCAGGTCGACCGAGTACGTACAATATGACCGATGTCTGTTCGTTCAGTACTGATACTTTGCGCACAGCAAGCTCGAAATAAGCGGGACATCAACAAAGCCCGCTCTCTACATTCGATCGCACCCCAATCGTCCCTATACACGCCCATCATTGACCCTCCGAGTCGCCTTCCAGGGTCCATCCATCTTAATCACAGGTCACAATGGTACACGTCCGCACTGATCAGCTGCGCTCTGGAAAGTGTCACCCTCCCTACCCGCCTGCGTGCATACCACGCCTTTGAGGCGTCTCTGGCAGGAGATGATAGCAGCCATAACATATTTGAACTCCAGTCCACGATAATTCAAAATCAGGACAAGTATCGCCAACAGCATCCTGTTTCGGCAGGCGTTCCTGAGGACACGGGTGATCGGGGATCGCATCCCGCAGATGCCCAGACCAAGTTTGACATAGATTTCACTTACGATGGTTTCGAAGGCGAAAGACCCCATGTGTTCAATCAACTACTTGTCATGCGTGGCATTGAGGAACAAGAGGACGAGTCTCCCTCTTCCGAAGATACCGGTCTTCAACGGAAGAGGCGCCACTATGACTCACAGCCAATGTTCCAAAGGTAGGCTGCTTCGCGCATGCTAGGTATCTCTGGGTTGCTAATTCGTGATGTGTAGCTTCAACACGCCATTAAAACTCCCCATTTTGGACAGCTTCCCCCAGGACATGTTCCGTGAAGCACCATCTGACCGCAAACTCGGTGTTCTCACTGGGTTGACGACATCCTCACGCACCGCCGAGAAGATCAAGTTGATGGAAACCGTTGCGCGACGGATCATCAGCGTCGACGAGCGCGAGACCATCATCAACGGGCTGGGGGAGATTCGGGAGACATATGAGACGGGATGGATGAGTGGCTCTGATTCTGACGATGAATAATTGTTACGTACCAAGATTAATAGAGGAATACAGAATCCCAATAGGATATATACCATTTAGTACAGAGTAGTGGGGACAAACTGGCCGATCTAGTTCGATGCGGCGCTGATCCGCAGCAAACAAGGCAAACAGGCCCGCCCAACGTGTCCTCTCCGGTTCGCCGCTCCATCTCGGCCTTTCATCTCCATTCTCTCCCTCATCGCCATTCTCATTATTCATATTCCATGCTTACTGCCAGGTGTCCACTATCCCAGTGCCTGGTGTTATCCTCGATGGCTTTTTGTACTTGATTTATTGTATGTCTCCTTCTTGAACCCTATATTTTCCAATCCTCTGTCGCCATCTGCACCTCCACCAGCCAACTGACTTGACTGCATAGCTTATCACATTACGTCGTTGTCCCTGGCTTGGATTGCGATCTCAATCCTTGACAGTCCAGTCAACTTTTGACTGTTTAATAATCATTAGAGATGGCTTCTGCCCGTCAACGGACACGAGGGATTACCTCGTCTCCAATTCTCTCCTTCCTCGTCCTACCGTTCCTCCTGTTTTTCATCGCCTTTCCCGCCCCGGCAGCTGCTGCTGGATCCGCAGTCCTCGGTGTCGATGTCGGAACAGAGTATCTGAAGGCGACGCTGGTCAAACCCGGAATTCCCCTCGAGATCGTTCTAACAAAGGATTCCAAGCGCAAGGAATCCGCCGCGGTCGCCTTCAAGCCCACCGGAGACAATGCGCCTTTCCCCGAGAGATTCTACGGTGGTGATGCGCTGTCGCTCGCGGCACGATACCCGGATGACGTTTACGTGAATTTGAAACCATTGTTAGGAATACCGTTCAATGGTGGGGAGGAGGAGATGGTTAAGACATACCACGACCGGTTTCCCGCTTTGCGACTCGAGAATATTCCCGAGCGAGGCAGCGTCGGACTTCGGAGCAACCGCCTTGGAGAGGCCGAAAAGAAGGAAGCTTTTCTTGTGGAGGAGCTCCTGGCTATGCAACTGAAACAGGTCAAGGCCAATGCCGACGATATGGCCGGCCAGGGCTCCGATATCAAGGATGTCGTCATCACGTACCCCGCATACTACACTGCTGAGGAGAAGAGGAGTCTGCAATTGGCCGCCGAACTGGCCGGCTTGCATGTCGACGCGCTCATCAGCGAGGGTCTTGCGGTTGGCTTGAACTATGCCACTAGCCGCACATTCCCTATGGTTTCGGACGGACTCAAGCCTGAGTACCATGTGGTTTACGACATGGGCGCTGGCTCCACCACCGCCAGTCTCCTTCGCTTCCAGAGTCGCCAGGTGAAGGACGTTGGGAAGTTCAACAAGACCATCCATGAGGTGAATGTTTTGGGACTCGGCTGGGATAAGACGCTTGGTGGAGACGGCTTGAACGACCTCATTGTCCAGGACATGGTCGCGAACCTTGTCGAGGACAAGAAGTTGAAGGATAAGGTTTCTATCGCGGACGTTCGGGGACACGGCAAGACGATGGCCCGACTCTGGAAGGACGCGGAGAAAGCTCGCCAGGTTCTGAGCGCCAATACCGAGACCGGAGCTAGCTTCGAAAGCCTGTATGATGAAGATGTCAACTTCAAGTATCGCATCTCGCGCTCGCGATTTGAGGAGCTTGCTAGTCAGCACATCGAGAGAGTGAGCAAGCCGTTGGAACAAGCTCTGGAGAACGCCAACTTGAAGTTGAGCGACATCGATTCCATCGTCCTGCATGGTGGCTCGATCCGTACGCCGTTCGTGCAGAAGGAACTGGAACGATTCTGCGGAGGATCTGGCAAGCTGAGAACCAGTGTCAATGCCGATGAGGCCGCTGTCTTTGGTGCCGCCTTCAAGGGGGCGTCGCTCAGCCCTAGCTTCCGCGTCAAGGACATCCGCGCAGTCGATGTTGCTGGATACCCCGTTGTACTGAAGTGGCTCTCGGACTCCAAGGAGCGACAGCAGAAACTGTTCACCCCGACTTCGCAAGTCGGTCCCGAGAAGCAATTGACTGTGAAGAACCTGGACGACTTTGAGTTCAGTTTCTATCAGCAGGTGTCCACGGACGGCGGTGTAACGGACCATCCCGTCCTCGGTGTGCAGACGAACAACCTTACTGCCTCGGTGGCCAAGCTAAAGGAAAGCTTTGGCTGCGCTCCGGCTAACATCACTACCAAGTTCTCCATTCAGCTCAGCCCTGTCAATGGACTTCCCCAGGTTGTCGGTGGCTCTGTAAGCTGCGAAGTCGAAGACACCAAGCAGGGCGGTGTTGTCGAGGGCGTCAAAGACTTTTTCGGCCTGGGCTCCAAGAAGGGCGAGCAGGTTCCCCTGGGCGAAGATGGGGAACCCAGCGAGTCTATCACCCTGGAATCCGAGGAACCTCAAGCCTCGACGAGTACATCCGCCGATGAAGCAGCCTCTACGGCTTCTGCCAAAGATAGCAAGAAGAGTGCGCCGCTTACCAAGGTGGAGAGCATCCCCATCAGCTTCACCTCTACGCCTCTCGGGACTCCTCGGCCGTCACCCGCCGAGCTCACCCGCATTCTCAGCCGTCTGGCAGCCTTCGATGCTTCGGACCGCGACCGCGTCCTGCGCGAAGAGGCTCTCAATGAGCTCGAAGCTTTCATGTACCGCAGTCGGGATCTGTCGGAGGACGAAGAATTCGTCGAGTTCCTCAAGGCCGACCAGCTGGCGGACCTCAAGGAGAAAGTAGCGGCTGCGAACGACTGGCTCTACGACGAGGGCTCCGATGCCAAGACCGCAGAATTCCAGTCGAGACTCCAGACCCTGAAGGCAATTGTGAACCCCGCGCTGAAGCGCAAGCAAGAGAGCTCACAGCGTCCCGCACGCGTCGAGCTGCTGCAAGACGTCCTGAAGAACGCCAAATCCGTGATCGACCTCATGGACAAGCAGATCAAGCAAGACGAAGACCTCCACTCGTCTAGCGTCGCCGCGTCATCCACCGCTCAAGCCGAGTCCTCCGAGTCCTCCTCTACTGCCACAGCCAGCGAGTCAGCCTCCACCGCCGACCCTCTCGAGGACCTTGAAGCCGACCCCTACGCGACCACCACCCAGTCCACGAAGACGACAACCACAACCACAACCGCGAAAGTCACAGGGCCCAAATACTCCATCTTCCAGCCCTCGGACCTCACCACCCTCTCCAAGAGCTACGAGACCGCCAAGGCCTGGTTCGAAACCCAGCTCGCCGCTCAGGAGAACCTCGCCCCAACAGACGACCCCACCTTCAGCGTCGCCGAGATCGACTCCCGCCTCAAGGACCTAGAGCGCTCCATGAACCGCATCTATGAAAAGATGGGCGCCGCGGCCGCGCGGTCCCAAAAGGACCAGGGCAAGAAAAACGGCAAGAAGGAGCCCACCGCCGAGAAGGAGAAGGCGAAGGGGAAGGGCAAGGAAAAGGAAAAGAAACCCAAGGATCCGAACCGCAAGGATGAGCTTTGATCTGATCGTGTTGTGTAAATCATTTTTCCATACAGCGCCGTCATGGTTTTTTTGCTCGTTCCTGCTTAACTCTTATCTATATCCTATCTATTCTTGTTGACTGAATGATGTTGGGGGAGTTCGGAATCAGCGTTTCTTTTATAAAATATTTCTTTTTTGACCACCTTATTCTAAGTTTTCTTTTTGTGTTTGTGCTTGTAGTATGTGGTGACCATGTCGTGGATGGGAAGGGATGAGATGATTGTATCGATATTTGGCTCCTTCTTCTTTTCCTCCGTGTGATCTATCTTGCCTCTGATTCTGCTGCTTGGTTATCTATGTAAACTACCTTTTCTACCTAGACAATCTTGATCGTCTGTCCATGCAGTGGCACATAGAACAGGGGGGGGGGGGGTTCTCTGGTGACAATATTAGTACTCCGTACTAGATAGATTATCTTATTTTTTTGAATCCATAAATGTGATAACTAATTTATTTAGATACATGCTGATTGATAACCGTGATCACTTTGATTTACAGACCAGACCGTGATTGGACAAAAACATAGAAATGGGGAAAGAAAGGAAGAAACAAGAAGACAGTCCGGGTATTTAACTAGGCGAGAGAAAGCGCAAACGAGAAGAAAAGAAAAGGAAAGAGAAGATATGTCCGAATAAACATGCACATGAAGGTAAAAGGGACGAGGGCAGACAGCCGCTGGATCCAGCCCAGCAGTTAGAATCCCCAAGCAGACAGTCAACATAGAAGACACATCGGTAGTGACGAAGAGTCAATCACACACCACCCATCTGGACTTCATACTCGCCTGCCCCCGAAACAAACTCCATATCGACCTCCTCGCGCCTGCGCAGAAAAGAGGGTTCCTCAAAGTCGTCATCGTCAACGTCCATAGTACCCTGCCTCTGCGCGGCGACGAACCGACGGCGCTGGCGTCCCAGCGTTGGAGCCAAGATCGTCCGTCCTGACACGGGCGCCTGGCCCACATCCGCTGCAGTCGTGTTCATCCAAGGCTCACTCAGAGACCATTCGGCGTTTGTGTAATGGGAGAGGTCATCCTCGTACTCGTCGGAGTCGAGGGTCCGTTTCTGGCCGGAGACCAGGGAGTCGACGGAGTCTTGGCTGCTGGGAGGGAGGGAGAAGGCGTCGCCGTCGTCGGTGATCAGCTCGTCGGTGTTCATTGTGCATGATGGCCGAGAGAAAGGGGCCACGGCGTCGTGGTGGTAGCCTGGTTTCGTCATCCCGCTGAAGGGGGCCAGCTCGGTGGTGTGGGGGCCTGAGACTGGGTGTTGTGTCTCAGGGGCGGCGAACATCATTGAGGTGTGTCCGGGGGTCTTGGTCTTGTATCCTTCTGCGACGGACTTGCGGACGCGCATGCCGACGGAGAGGAGTGAGGATTGGACCTTAGCGGAGACGATGGGAGTCGGGGAGTAGGTGGTTGCGGCGTAGTGGTTGTGGGAGAGATGCGGGGTGTCTGTTGGGTTGGCGGTTGTGGAGAAAAAGGTGGTGATGGCTGGTTGGAAGCGTCTGCGTTTGGAGGCGGGGTCGTTGTGTTTGGGGCTGGTTGCGATAGAGGAAGGCATGGTGGATGAAGTTGTGAGGGGATCTGGGTTATCGTTGATAAAGGGGATGTAAATCTCTGGCCCGTTCCAATGAGGAAGATAGTTGGAATACAAGGTAGGACTTGGAGATGGTTGAATTGTAAGACCTTCCAGGAAAGGGTTAGGACGGTATGCAAGGCACAAGAGTAGAGTGGGGAGAAGAGAGAAGGGGAGGATTAGGAGGAGAGACGTGACGGAGGAAGAAATGGAGGAAATGGAGGCTGGGGATTTGCCGGCACGCGTCGCGCCCCCGTGACGCGCTAAGGCACACCCCCGTGACTTTTCAATATGTCCTCTTTGGGTTACTTAGGGCTTAGGGCTAATTATCAGGTGATCGTGGTAATAGGCCTGAGGTATACGGATTGTAACTATCACTTGTTAGAACATGTAGAGCTCAATGACCTCCGAACCCCACCTGTAAGAAAGGAGAAAAAAGTAGAAATAACTAGCTGGGTGTTTAAATCAAGCATCTTCATTGGCACTACCATGTATAACGACCATCTACCTTATTGAGAATAACTCAAGGTCCACCAGTCAACCTATGACTCGGCCGTTGAAGCGAAGAACGAGGAAGTGGCTGTTTCTGTCGCTTTTTAATGCGTGCTTGAATAGCGACGGCTCATTCAACAATCAGTGGGTGTGTTCTTGATGTTTAGATTAGGGGATGGGTGGATAGCCTGGAAAACATAGAATGGAGGGTCAAGTATACAATTATATATAAAATGACACGCGGGAGACACCAGAGAGTGTATGATGGCCAATTGCCCTTCTACGACACAGCTCTATACTATTTGAACATTAAATGGTTTAATACATTCATATGATTCTCGTGGGATATCTTATACTCCATGTTAATAAGTAGTATTTTTGATGCAGTGATTGATAGTGACGCCTAATCTATCATCGATAAGACATACTACAGCAACGGTCGTAAAGTATAACTTTAAGGAAAATGAACTTCAACACCAATTTTCATCATCATCATGGTATGCTACTTTTATATGCCCAACTCAAAAAAACTCTATCCAAAATAACATGCCCAAAGCCCGATCCCACCTCACATACCAATATTACCTCTCCGACCACCCCGCTTCTGTCGGTCTTGATGCGCCCTCAACACATTGCGTGTCTCCACCAGACTTCTCTTGTTCTTGCCCTTCGCTTTACCCAGCGTCATGAACAGATTCTTCCGCCGCTGCTTCTCCTTGTTGGTGGTACTCTTGCCCTGCGACTCCTTGCGCTCCTTGCGCTTGGCCGTCACGCTCTTGTGGTCCTCCCGGTCCGTCTTGAACTCCTTCGCTCGCGCGATACGCTCTTCGCGCGTCGCCTTGCCTGCGGAGAGGGCGGCCAGTCCCTCAATCTCTTCCGCCGTCAGAGGATCGTCGATGTGTCGGGCGGCGTTGGAGTTCTGCTTGCGGGACGACTTGTTACCCGGGACGAGTGCGTCGACTGCGGCGTTCGTGCGCAGCTCTTGGAGCTTGGCCAGGTCGGCGGGGGTCAAGATGCGGGTCGTGGCGAGGGTGGAGAATTTGTTCTCGGGCTTGCTGTCGTCCTTGGACTCGGACTTTTCGTCGTTGGTGGCGCCGTCTTGCTTGGCCTTCTTGGAGGGGCGCGAGGGATCCTTGTCCTTTTCGTCCTCGGAGTCGCTCAGCTCGATCTCGGCGTCGCTCTCGACCTCGATCCAGCCGCCGGAGTCGTCGCTGTCTTCGTCATCTTCCACATTCCAGTCGTCCCAGTTGTCCTCTTCGTCTTCTTCCTCGTCGTCCTCGGCGTCGGAAGCCAGGCCCTTCTCAGCCCGTCGCTTCTTGCGCTCTTCCTCCTTCCACTGCTCCAGGAGCTCAATGCCCTCGATACCGCCGGTTTCCTGCTCGCCGTAGCGCTTCTCCCTCTTATCGCCCGACCGGAGACCCATGGAGGCGTCCTTGCCGCGGTCTCTCCGCTTCAGCATCTCGGGACCGACCTCACGGAACAGGCTGAGCAAGCCGCGGCCTGCCATCATGACACCCTTGTCTTTACTCTTGCGGTACATCACCAGGTCTTGTAGTAGGGTATCGTTCATGGCGAGGGGTTGACGCACACAGATCTCGCGAATGGCGTTGAGACCCGCCGTAGCCACCTCCGATGCCGACGCCTCGGACACGAACTCGTTGGCGATCTTCAAGACCAGCGGCTCCAGGACGTCAGGGGGTACCAAGTCATGCGTTGCTTGCGCAAGCGATGCGAGGAACGACGTGACCGAGGGCTGTCGGGGCGTCAGGTACTTCTGGAAATAGGAGTAAAGGTGGATGATATGCAGCTTGTGCAGACCGACGAGGCGAGTCACCAGCTGCAGCACGAGAAGCTTCTGGTCGAGATTGAGCTTCGACTTGGCGGTCTGAAGGTGCCTCGCGAAAAGGGACTCGGCGAACCCCTGGGGATCGTGCAGCAGATGCAGCGCGGAGAAGTTCAGCGGGTGAGGCTGGTTCTTCTTGCGCTCCTTTCGCTTGACGGCAGCCCTTGCCTTCTCGACCGACTTGGCCTTCTTCCGGGTCTTCTTGTTGATGCCGACCTGGTGCTTGACTTGCCCCATGTCAATGGCCTCTTCGTCACTGCTCTCATCCTCCGCCTCCTCACGCTCCTTGTCGCCTCCCAAGAAAAAGCGAACGCCGCCCACGACGACCTTTTCATTCTCCGACAAGCACGCCTCCTTCATGACCTCCACTGTCTTGGCGTCCGTCCAAATCTGTCTCTTCCACAGTTCGCGAACCAGCTTGATAGCCCACAGCCCCTTGGACGACGTGCGATCCGACGTCACCAAGTTGAACAGAACAGTCTGCATAACCCGGTTGAGCTTGTGGTTGATAGTCTTCACGTTCGCCGTGCGCAAATCCATCAGGATCTTCTGGAAGATCAACGCCCGTAGCGTCTTACTAGGCGTCGTGATGAGAATGGGAAATAGCGTTTGTAGCAACCTGTAGCACATCGTCAGTGATCAGTATACTGGAGTCAAGCATTATCCGTGGAGCAGTTTCACAAAAACATACGTCGCCGAGTCAACGAGTTCTTTCTTCCTCAGGAGGACCAGACTCCCGACAATCTTCTCCCGCAGCTCGGGTTCCAGAACCAGATGGTGCTGCGTCAGGATATCCATGAGTTGCTGGGGGAAATCCTTGGTGATAGTAGGGTAGCAGTCGGCCACGTGGGAAATGAAATCGATCAACTCGCGCAGCGATATGATGCCCGTATCGTTGGCAGACGTGGGCGCCGCCATGAAGATTTCCCGGTGACTTTCATACTGATAGTGCTGAGCGCGGAAGTCCTCAATGTACGACCTAAGTACAACACAGCGGCGTTAGAAACCTGAACCCAGAAAAAAACCATAGAAAAGAATAATAAAGAAGGCGTAGAAAAACTCACTTAGGATCTTTGCGAATTTTATTTTGTAAATTAGGCCTGTAGGATGGGGAAAAAGAGTGTCAGTCGAGCGTCCGTCGCAAGTCAAATTTCCCCTTCAATTTGCAGACGGAAGAATGCTTACAGGTCAGCTTCGACCTTTTCCAAGGCTCCCAACTTTCTTTTGACCATCGTGCCGGTTGTTTGATGTCCAATGCAGCAAGGATGAAAGCTGGAGGACACAGGGTGGAGGTTGCGATGGGCCGGCAACCACAGTATAGGCCTAGCTCCGTTGATTTTTTTTTTTCTCCCTCGGAGGCGGAGGCCGGCCTATCGATAAGCGCCGAACCCACTATCATTTTCTACGTTTATCTTCCATCAAGCACTCTCCATCAATAGGATGATAATTTCATTTATTAGATTGTGATTGTAAACAGATCTATATTACAGGGCCTGTGCCCATTTGGTTAAATTTTCTGGCGCTCGACCGTATAGACAAACATGTCACTTCCAAAACTCATTACGAAAAGGAGAGCCTGGTAGAGAAGTGCAGTGTATTTTTCTTTTTCATACAAAATTTTTTAAGTACCGGCTTCAAAAGTTCGAGGTCTTCATGATCGCATCTTAAACTACTATAGAAGAAAGCCGTCCGATTCTCTCATTTTTGGAACTCGCTCCCTCCCATGGTTGTGTTCAGGTTATGTACAGCCGCGCAGATGCATGCAAATACGACTGAACCCGAGTAAAACCCCCCGTCCACTCCAGTACACATAAAACCCGGAACCAAACGGAGAATACGCCCAACAAAACCCTTTTACCGGTTGCTCTTGGCAACACGCTCAAGCTCGTCCTTCTTCTTGATGGCGTACGAGTTGGAGCTACCCTTGGCGGCGTTGATCAGCTCCTCAGCAAGGCACTCAGCGATGGTCTTGATGTTGCGGAAAGCAGCCTCGCGAGCACCGATGGTGAGGAGAGCAATGGCCTGGTTGACACGGCGGAGGGGAGACACATCGACGGCCTGGCGACGGACGGTACCGGCGGAACCGATACGGGTGCTGTCTTCGCGGGGACCGCAGTTGACGATGGCATCAACGGCGACCTGCAGAGGGTTCTGGTCGGTCATGATGTGGATCTATCCAACGGATGTTAGCATCCTTTCAACTCTGCTTTGATTTCCCCGTTCCCATCACGCGACCCTGCGGTCCTGGAAAGATCTGGAGCAACGTACGATCTCGAAAGAGTGGGCAACAATGCGGACAGCCATGAGCTTCTTGCCGCTGTTGCGACCGTTCATCATGAGGGAGTTGGTCAGGCGCTCGATGATGGGGCACTGCGACTTGCGGAAGCGCTTGGCGGCATAGCGGCCAGCAGTGTGAGGAAGGTAGACGGGGTTACGGATCTGGACGTAGTCGCTGTATGTGCAATTCCAAAGTCAGTAACTGTGTTGTTGCAAGATTTGGTCGGTTTCCGGATGTCATTGCGCGGTGTGCGATAGATTCCTCCAGTCCCTTCTCTTGTCCCCTTCGCATATCATCCACCAGACCGTATTTTCCTCACCCCCCTTCCCAGCGGCCGATTTGATGCAATGTGAAGTCGGGACTCGTTCTCAATTTTTTCGATAGAAAGCATAGATTGGGGAAACACCTACGTCAAGGAGATGTCCCTGATCTCAACATCCTCGTAACTCCAGCGGTTGAACAGCTTGACGGATCCCATCTCCGCAGCGACGTCCTTGGGCAGGACCTGGAAAGCCCCGGAGGGGTTTTCGACCTCGACTTCCCCGTGGTCAGACATGTTGACGCCGTATGCACCTGTTGTCGAGGGAGGGCTTGGGTGAAAGGTGACGGACGGTGTCGTTGGGTGATCGCTTTCAACGTCGACAATAGCAGGTCAGTCGGCTGAAATGTTTCCGTAGGCGCAAGGGAAATTCAGGTGTGTCTCGCTTAGGACTGTGGGTGGGGTTAGGGCAGACTGGAAGCCAATCAACGAATTGGGATCATGTGATCAACACACTAGCCGATATCAGACTAGTGTGGAACTAGTGCGTTGATACTGGGGCTTACCTCAGATCTGCATAATCCTCTTTCACTAACTTATGGATTCTCCTGTATCGCATTAATCCATCCAGCCCGTCTGGTCTTGGAGTCGGTGGATACGGTACCACCTGCTAGTTAGTATGAGGTGCCGCTGTGATTACTATGCCACTTCTTTCCGTCACTTCCACTGGCAGGCCAATATTGGATACGGTGTACTCCGTAGACTGTAGTCCTTTAATTTGCCGGTGACAATTACATCTACACAATCTCCATTGTAGATACCGGCTCTATAATAAAGTATACACTAGCCACAGTGTCCGCAGCCTCACAAATAAGGCACCTGAATACGAGACTGACCCCACAGTCAATTCCTCGCATGGACACGGTAGGTGAAAAATGTTCCGAATCAAACAAAATGCCATTGTGGTATACCCCTGAGATCACCACCCTCCAATGACGACAGCTGCAGAGGGAGGACTGAGTTCCGTTTTGGTGGAAAATGACGATCCTCGTGCTCTCCAGTTCGTTGGAATGGAGAGTCCAAGTCGACGCTAATGTGGCTGTGCTGGCCTTTCTAATGTTCTGATTGGTGGACATTGTCGAGGTGGGACGCCCTACCCGCCGCGGCAGGTGACGGGACGTTCAGCTGTGGCTCGGGAGGTCTTCAGGCGCGGAGAAACATGACCAGACGGCGACAACTCGAAAGCCAGATAACCTTTCCTCCTCCTGGTCTACTACTGGTAACGAGTCCTTTTACAGACCTTTGAACTCCTGCAGTTCATCTTTGCAAGGGGTCACTCAAAAATCCTTCCACTTCTCTCCCCAAGTGCTTTCCAATACAAAGGACCAACCACCCCCGCCCCTTTTCCGCCCCTCTTCCTCCCCGTATGACTCTGCGATGAGGATAGCTTGGCTTCTACACGCCTAGTCGTACGTGCATTTGAATGAGAACTCTTCAACCCAGGCCACGTTTGGCGGTTTCGTGAACATGGCGGACGATAATCCGGCCCTCCACAATGCATTGCATGCGCTCGACAGGGAGTATGAGGTACGTAACCGTCTGACAATGGTGGCCTTGCGGAACGGTGGTGACTGACACCTTTTCGTCGGTTGATAGGATGGTGAGATTACTGAGAAAGGGTAAGTGGCCTACCGTCGGGCCTGATGCGACGGTCATTCCAAGCGACGGCGAGAGAGAAACCACCCCCTGTGAAACAGTGGGACTTCTTTTCGCAATCTCTCCGTACCACCCGATTAGAAGAAGACTTCCCGTACAGATGGAATCATGGCGGGGGCTAACTTGACCAAAGTTATCAGAAACGGCGCACGATCCTCCTCTCCCAATTCTACAACCCCGGCATGGGTCTGGATTTCAATTCCCCCAGTCCAGGTCCTTCGTCGTCCATGAACAGTGGGAGTCAAGTTCCTCCGGCGATCCTGAACGTTCGCCCACCTACGGCAGACTCCTCGGCTCATGGTTTTGCGGGCGGCCATGATACCATGTACAGCAACGGAGGATTCGGAGCCGATCGAAGAATCAGCGATACTACGCAGGGGTCCATGGAACGAGATAATTCGATGCTGCAGCAGTTGGATCGCATGCCTTCCACGGGATCCTACGATTCCCTGTTCCTCCCGAGACCACCTCCACAGCCCGTACCGGTCGCGACGGAGGATTCCAGAACCGCCACCCTTTTGACGCAGAACTATGCCTTTAACCCCCCTGTCGTTCATGATCAGTATGACGACGGTATGGGTGTTTATGATATGCCGCCCGGTGCGGTCACGCGGCAGTCGACCATGCTGGACTCGCAGCAGGGGTTCTTCTCCGACTTCGCGGGTCAGCAGCAGGATGATTACCGGGACAGTTACGGAGGTAGTGGATTCCACCGCTACTCCCAGTCCGATGCCTTCTCCCCGACCGCGAATATGGCGCCCCCGCTGATCCCCGCGTCGGAGCTCCCCCACGGGCCCGCCATTGATCACCTACTGCCCCTGGAGCCTCGCGACATCCCGTTCGCGGTCCATGACCCCCATGACCACAATACCACAATGTCCAATTTTGACAACATCCCGGCGGTCCTCCGCCACCGTGCCAAGGCCCATGCGAAACAGGCCGCGTACTGGGTGCTGGATCAGAAGGGCAAGGAGATTGCCTCCATCACTTGGGACAAATTGGCGAGTCGCGCCGAGAAGGTTGCGCAAGTCATTCGTGACAAGAGCAACCTCTATCGTGGCGACAGAGTGGCCCTGATCTATCGGGACACCGAGATCATCGAGTTCGCCGTGGCCCTCATGGGTTGTTTTATTGCCGGGGTCGTTGCTGTCCCGATCAACAGTCTCGAGGACTACCCCAGCCTCAACCTGATTCTCACGTCGACTCAGGCACACCTTGCCCTGACGACGGAGAACAACCTCAAGACCTTCCAAAGAGACATCACCACTCAAAAGTTAAATTGGCCGCGGGGGGTGGAGTGGTGGAAGACCAACGAGTTTGGCAGTTACCATCCCAAGAAGAAAGAGGAGGCTCCGGCCCTTGTTGTTCCCGACTTGGCCTATATCGAGTTCGCGCGAGCCCCAACCGGCGATTTGCGCGGTGTCGTCATGAGTCACCGCACGATCATGCACCAAATGGCATGCCTCAGCGCCATGGTGTCGACGGTGCCTGGGTCGTCGAGTGGGCGGCCTCATGGTGAGACGATCATGAGTTACCTTGACCCGCGTCAAGGGATCGGCATGATCTTCGCCGTGCTCCTCACCGTGTATGGCGGCCACACGACTGTCTGGCTCGAGGATCGAGCGGTCGAGACCCCGGGTCTCTACGCCCACCTTATCACCAAGTACCGGGCCACTCTCTTGGCCGCCGATTATCCGGGCCTGAAGATCACGGCCTACAACTACCAGCAAGATCCCATGGCAACCCGCCACTACAAGAAGAATTCTGAACCTAATTTCGCAAGTGTGAAGCTCTGTCTCATCGATACGCTAACGGTTGATTCGGAGTTCCATGAAATTCTTGCGGACAGATGGCTGAGACCGATGAGGAACCCGAGAGCCCGAGAGATCGTCGCCCCCATGCTATGTTTGCCGGAGCATGGCGGCATGGTGATCAGCGTCCGTGACTGGTTAGGCGGTGAAGAACGGATGGGATGTCCTCTGACGCGCGACATGGACCAAACGGACCTCCAGGAAGCCAAAGAAGAAGAGAAACGGCACGAAAAGGCCGGAAGCAAAAGTGGTTTCGGAAGCAGTCTCCTGGGCGGCGGATCGACCGCCCCGGCGCCCAAGGAACAAACCAAGAATGACCTCGGAGAAGTCCTCCTTGACAAGGAAGCCCTCAAGAGCAACGAAGTTGTGGTCTTGGCCATGGGCGACGACGCCCGAAAATATGCTGCCACCATGCCGCATGCCGTGCGTGTTGGCTCTTTTGGCTACCCCATCCCCGACGCCACTCTCGCCGTTGTCGACCCGGAGACTAATCTCTTGTGTACGCCCAATGTCGTTGGCGAAATCTGGGTGGACTCCCCCTCGCTTTCCGGAGGGTTCTGGGCATTACCGAAACATACCGAGGCGATCTTCCATGCACGCCCTTACAAGTTCGAGGAAGGCAATCCGACGCCAGTCTTGGTGGAGCCAGAGTTCCTACGGACGGGGCTGCTGGGATGCGTGATCGAGGGGAAGATCTTCGTCCTGGGGCTTTATGAGGATCGATTGCGTCAGAAGGTTGAGTGGGTTGAGCACGGACAGGAAATTGTTGAACACAGGTATTTCTTTGTTCAGCACATGATTGTTAGCATCCTGAAGAATCTGCCCAAGATCCACGACTGCACCGCTTTCGATGTCTTTGTCAACGAAGAGCATCTTCCGATCGTGGTCCTGGAATCATATGCAGCGTCGACGGCACCGACAACGTCCGGAGGTCCTCCACGACAACTCGACTCGGTTCTTCTGGAGTCTTTGGCAGAACGGTGCATGGAGGTTCTCTACCATGAGCACCATTTGCGGGTCTTCTGTGTGTTGCTCACGGCTCCCAATACCCTTCCCCGTGTCACCAAGAATGGGCGGCAAGAAATTGGTAACATGCTCTGCCGGAAGGACTTCGACGCTGGGAGCCTACCGTGCGTCCACGTGAAATTTGGCGTCGAGAGGTCAGTCTTGAATCTGCCCGTTGGGGTCGACCCAGTTGGAGGGATCTGGTCCTCTCTCGCTGTGAATGCAAGACAGGAACTTCTGTCCCTGCAGGAAAAGCAGTACTCTGGTGTCGACTACCGTGATGTGGTCATGGATGATCGTACGTCTACACCGTTGAATAACTTCAAGTCAATTGTGGATCTTCTGCAATGGAGAGTCTCCCGACAAGCGGAGGAGCTCGCGTATTGTTCCATTGATGGTCGAGGGAAAGAAGGCAAGGGGATCACCTGGAGAAAGTTTGACTTGAAGGTTGCTTCGGTGGCCAACTACCTCAGAAACAAAGTCAAGGCTCGTCCCGGTGACCACTTGATTCTGATGTACACGCACTCCGAAGAGTACGTCTACGCCGTCCATGCTTGCTTCTGTCTGGGCGTGGTGATAATCCCCCTAGCGCCTATTGACCAGAATCGCCTATCGGAGGACGCACCTGCATTCCTCCACATGATCAGCGACTTCAACGTGAAAGCGATCATTGTCAACAGCGACGTGGATCATGTCATGAAGCAGAAGATTGTCTCGCAGCACATCAAGCAATCCGCTCAGGTGCTTCGGATAGGTGTTCCAGCTGTCTACAACACAACCAAGCCCTCCAAGCAGTCGCACAGCTGTCGCGATCTCGGGTTTGTCATGAGGGACACCTGGCTGCAGAGCAATACCCCCGCTATGATCTGGACGTACTGGACGCCAGACCAAAGGAGGATTTCGGTCCACATTGGCCACGACACCATCATGGGCATGTGCAAGGTGCAAAAGGAAACTTGCCAAATGACCAGTTCACGACCTGTCCTAGGAAGCATCCGTAGCACCTTGGGTCTGGGTTTCCTGCATACGTGCTTGATGGGTATCTATGTCGGTGAGTAACAAACCTAACATACATTGCAACAAAATCGAAGGGGACTAACGATGCCGTAGGTGCACCGACTTACCTTGTATCGCCTGTCGACTTTGCCACCAATCCCATGACGCTCTTTGTCACTCTTTCGCGGTATAAGATCAAGGACACATATGCCACCAGCCAGATGCTGGACTATGCCATGACGGCAATGGCCGGGAAGGGCTTCCAGCTCCAAGAGCTCAAGAATCTGATGATCTCCTCAGAAGGCCGGCCGCGTATTGATATCTGTATGTGTTTTGGATCTACTCTTTCTGAGCTTTCTAACGTTCAATTGTAGACCAAAAAGTGCGCCTGCACTTTGCCTCCACTGCTCTGGACCGCACCGCAATCAATGTTGTCTATTCGCATGTTCTCAACCCCATGATTGTCACTCGGTCCTACATGTGCATCGAGCCCATCGAACTATGGCTGGACCTGCGAGCTTTGCGGCGAGGACTTATCATGCCTGTGGAGTCGGAAACGGACCCAGCCGCTCTTGTCATCCAGGATTCCGGCATGGTGCCAGTGAACACGCAGATCGCCGTTGTGAACCCAGAGACATGTGCCCTGTCTCATGTGGGCGAATACGGAGAGATCTGGGTTCAGTCCGATGCCTGCGCCAAGGGGTTCTACGGCTCCAAGCAGGAATTCGACCACGAGCGATTCAACGGCCACGTGTTGGATGGAGATCCCAATGTTTCTTACGTGCGTACTGGTGATTTGGGCTTCCTGCACACCGTGACAAGGCCCATCGGGCCTGGCGGCCAGCCCGTGGAGATGCAAGTTTTGTTCGTCCTTGGCGGCATCGGCGAGACCTTCGAAGTCAATGGTTTGAACCACTTCCCAATGGATATTGAGAACTCGGTGGAGAGATGCCACCGTAATATTGTTGCCGGAGGATCGTAAGTGACCGTCCCCGCTGTTGATGTTCGACGCTCGCTGACATTGTAATAGTGCCATCTTCCAGGCTGGCGGTCTGATTGTGGTCGTGGTGGAGGTGACGAGAAAGGCTTACTTGGCGTCCGTGGTGCCTGTCATTGTGAACGCCATCCTGAACGAACACCAGGTAGTCGCGGACATCGTGGCATTTGTCTCGCACGGAGACTTCCCCCGGTCCCGACTGGGCGAGAAACAGCGCGGGAAGGTTCTGGCGTCGTGGGTTACGCGAAAACTGCGCACTATCGCGCAGTTCAGCATCCGAGACGTGGAGGGCGGCGAGAACCCATTCGGAGAGGCGCCTCAACATCGCGCCAGCCGCAGCTCCAAGCCAGGCAGTACGATGGGCAACAGCGTCCGCCGGTCCAGCGTCATGCCGGATACCGACTCGGCCACCGTCCCTCGCTCCCCAGCGCCTATCCTCGTCGAACAGCCCGAGGCAGCCTCCCCCCACAGTCTGACAGACCAGGGGGCGATGAACAGCCCAACGGTGCACGCCGCGCAGTCCATCCCCCTGATCGCGGAACCGACGCGCCCGGGAACCTCTTCAACCGCCGGCCACCCCGACCCCTCCCTCGCCGTTCAGAACAACGCGCCGCCCGCCAACCTCGGCAACCCCGATTTCGGGTTCGACTTTGGCGACTTCGCCCACGCCGCCACGACCTCCCCGATCGGCGAGTCGAGCGTCCCCGCCCCGGCGACCGGAGCCCCCCTGCCGTTCCGTCCCTCCCCCAGAACCGACTCCCTCCCCAGCCAGCAGCAACAACAACAACAAAAGTACAGCGCCTTCCCAGGTGGAGCCATACCCGAACGACCAGTGTCACGGGACACACAGAGCCACCCGGGCGACGAGCACGATTGGCCGCAGGAAGCACTGATGTACCAGTCGACGCTGGGCATCGACGAGCCGCAGGGCATGCACAGGGCACCCAGCGGCACCAGCCAAGTGCAGAGGCGCTATGACGGGAGTGAGTACGGAGTTTGAGGGCCAGTCAGCCAGCCAGCCAGCCAGCCACCTAAACTCGCATATACAAAAGGAACAGAATAGTCGTGATGGAGTTTACATCTATACCCCCCATATGTACTGGAATATGCACGACAGATGCCATCTTTTCGTTTCAGTGCTCATCCTTTGCCACTTTTTTTTGTTTGCTCGCTGGGTAGCCGCAGGCCATACATAATACAGATACAGATGCATAGTCGGCTACTCTCCCTACCACAGCATCTTTGTATATAGTCACTGTGGTCTGTAAGTTTTGGACTCTACAGGCCGGTAATTAGTTCTTTGGATAGATGAGTTATATGAGTGTATTAATTTGGTGAATTACATGTTCAGGAGCATTCTAAAAGTAGATTTACACTAGTTATAGTGACCCTACCTTATTGATAACCAACAGAGAAAGAATAACCGAGAATAAAGAAAACAAACAGTAGCTCAATAAATAACCACTACATCTGCGGAAGAAGACGATGATGAACAACCACAATCTCAGATACCTATCTACTGGTTAATATCCCACATAATTGTGTACTGGCTTAGAGCCTCCACACACCTACCTACAGCATACTCCTCACCTCCCCCCCAACCAACCCCCCCGGAACCACCCCCCCAAAATACCCCTCCAGCGCATCACCCGTCGCCCTCCCCCCCACCAACCCCAAAACACACCCCACATACCCATCCGGCCTCACAACAACCACACCCCCCTCTCGCGAACCAAACCCCAACTTCCTATGCGCCGCCCCAGGCCCACCCGGCTGCCGACGCGCATCGTCCGAGTAGATATGGTACCGGTAGGGTTGGAAGAACGGTGGCAGAGAGGTGATGTCGACTGAGGCGCGGACGGCGTTGAATATGATGGAGAATGTGTAGAGTGGTGAGTGGGGGTTGTGGCGGCTTTCGTAGGAGAGGTCTGCTACCTTTGTGCCTGTGGCGCGGGGGATGCGCGAGAATAGGGAGTTTCGGCGGGTTAGGTGGGTGGATAGGTCTGTTAGGGCCTTGTGTTGGTGGGGATGTTTGCCGGCGAAGATGTAGATGTTGAAACTGCCGTTGAAGGGGACGTCGCGTTCTAGGGGGATGTCGTGGGCGTCGATTACGCGCGTTACGGTTGTTGGGGGGAAGCTGCGGCCGGGTTGGAGGGATCTCTGCGATGGGATGGTGATGGGGTTGTTGTTGTTGTGGCTGGCTACGGTCAGCGTGCTGGGCGTATACTCGACGCCGTAGCCGCTGGTGAGCAACGAGTTCTCTTTGAAGATGCGGACGAACTCGTCGTTGGCTTGCTGGGAGGGGTTGTGCGAGCTGAAGAGGCCGGCGTAGGTCGCGTCGAACTCGATCAGTCGGGAGGCTGCTGCGTGGCGTTCTTCTTCGTATGTGTGTAGTAGTTCGCGGCGCATTAGGTTGGATTCGACGAGGTGGAGCTTCCAGCTTAGGTTGTGGGCGTCGAGGAGGCCGTAGTTCATGCCTTGGCCTGCTTTGGGCTGGGTTTTTTTAGTTCAACCATTCATTAATCGTTTTCTTCTTCTTTTGCTTAGATTGAGAGAGATGTGACTTACGCTGTGCGTATGGCAGGCGTCCCCGCCGATGAAGATGCGGTTGTCTAGTGTGTATTTCTGCGAGATGCCTTGGCCAATGTGGTAGGCGGAGTACCAGTCGACTGACACCCATTCCACGCGATACGGACTCAGGATCTCGTTGGCCATGCGCTGGATTCTCTCCGAGGAGGCGCATGCCGAGAAATTCTTGCTCTCGTCGGGCGATATCTGGACGTAGAAGCGTATGCGGTTGTTGCCTTGGGGAATGACCATGCAGGAGCCGCGAGGGGTCCGAACAGTGCATTTGATCTGGATGGTCAGTTCAGACAACATGAAGCAAGAAAAAGAAAAGGGCGGGGAAGACCAAGGAAGAATACCTGTATATCAGGGAAGTCGGTCTCGACGACCCCGTCGATTACACTCCACACGTGAACGGTTGGATCCTTGTAGATCATGGGAATGCTCAATAGTTTGCGCACCGCACTGTGTGCGCCATCGGCTCCAAATAGATACTTGGTTTGGAGCTTTTCCACGGCCGTCCCATCCACGCTGACCAGCTCGACGTCAACGGGATACTCCACACCCGGCCCACGGTACGTGACCGCGCGAATCGTCCACGGTCGCTGGACCTCGACGCCCCGCGAGCGGAGATCATCGAGGAAGACACCCTCGATACGACCCTGGTGCAGAGCCGTGGTGAATGGGTGGCGGGTGTCGACATGGTCAGGGTAGCTCTTGGTGGTGCCTATACGCTGAACGCCTTGTCCGTCGGGAGTGGCGCCCCAGAAGGCAACTTCATAAATGAGACCCGGATTGAAGGCCCAAATAGGCCCCTTCAAGCCCATACTGTCTAGCACGTCCAGCGTGCGTGCCTGGATCCCGTCCGCTCGGCCGATGGGCGTCGGCTCGGCGCGGTTGTCGATGTGCTTGATCTTGTAGGGACCGAGGCGGGCAAGACAGGCGGAGAACATAAGTCCTACAGGGCCGGCACCCACGACGACGACGTCGTATTTTCCAGGCATATTGCTTGATTTGGATCTGTCGACGTTGGGATAAGGGGAAAGAAAGAGGCACAGGAGAGACAGGTGTCACCCTGTTTTATTTTGCGCCGATAAAAAGGCAAGGTGTGAAAAAAAAAAAATGCTTAAAGGGCATGACAGATGATGCAATGGACATGATTGTATGAATTGGACGCTAATGCAGAGGACAATGCGATTCAGTATGGGCTTCATTCAACGGTGGACCAATGGCTTACTCGGGTCCAACGCACGCATTGTTCTTGCTTTATTTTTCTTCTTTGCATTTCTCTGTCCCTCCACTTTAAAGGGTCGATTTGCAATACTGATGTCTGGGCCAGTCGAGCAGCTCAAGGGGGGAATATGAAGCCTTGCCTCGTGCGGGTGGCTTTCAGCTCGCCAATCCGGTCCTTGCAGGAACTAAAGGTTAGCGCTGGTTCTTGTTGCATTCAATTTTGTCATCGGTCAGACTCGCCGATCGCCATCTGGTAGTACAGCCAAGGGTGAGCGAATTTGCGGTGTAAGCGATGAGGGGAGCGAGATGCAAGATGCAAGATGCAAGAAGAAACCGGGAGGAGAAGCAAAAAGGGAGTGTTGGTGGTGTTTCTGGACATGTTTCCGTCGCCACCGAAGGGCTGAGAGCTGAAGCACCGCGCGCGGCGATCCCAGGACGTGTATCTCCAGACATAGCCTGCAGAAAGTAGGAACGAGCGAGTAAAAGTGGACAGATCAACAGCATGAAAGAGAACCGTGATAGTCCCGAGAGAAGCGCAGTTAGCGATTGGTTGCTTCTGTGTTGGAATGGCGGCCGACATGGATGACCTCAGCTGGCATCTTTCGCTCTTGACAATCTTTTCCTCCTGCAAAACGAATCTATTCCCCTGCGGTTGCACCGAAGCACCACGTCATCTAAGGTAGGACAGGAGACTGGTGGGTTTCGATCGGTGGCACCGCATGGAGTGGGTCATGTACAGTGCCTCAGATTCCTGCTTGTCTATGTCAAGGGGTCCGCTCATACGTCAAGCAGCCTCCACGACATCCAGATGTATAGAAGATGGACTGGATACCTGCTATGTGTATGAACTGAGTATTGATCTGTAAGAGGTTATTCGTATACCGCTGAAATACCAATTTTATGTGGCATTCGTCTATGTGGCATATACCATGCACATACGGAGTACCCCGTACTGTTGGACTAAATAGAGATTGGCCTAGTTTTATCTATTTCAAATGTGTCCAGTCCTTGAATGTTCTCGTCTAGTCTCAATAAAACATAGCATAGTTGAAATTTCCATACCTCTTGAAAGCTCATAGGGTTCGATATACTTGCTATCTGGCTTATGTATCCAGCCCAATAAGTTGATCAAGTTTTGTGGTCAACTCCTGTTGATAGCAATTATAGTAAACACACAAGTGTAGCTCACTGGAGATCTTCCCAGAAAAAAAACTGTCTATATGTGATTCCCCGACAAGAGAAGAGGGAGTAGTTCGCCCCTGAGAGTCGTAACCCAGTAAGATTAATAACTCAGCCAAAGATCAGCCGCGAACTAAGATCGACCGATCGAAAGATCATGACGAATAGTCTCCTGCATGAGACGAGCCCCTACTTCTCTTACCCACTTATTCTTTCTTTTCCCGTGTGGATGGGTGGGTGGGTGGTGGACGGACGGGGCAAGATGGACAGCAGGTATAAAGCCAACCCTCTAGACGGGCTATCCTTACAGCCATCCTCCATTCTCCCTGTGTTATTCTAACAAAATCCTCCAGATTCCCTTTTGAAAATCAATATAAAAATGGGCGACGCTCACTCTCCCCCCACCCGCTCCGTCACCCGCAGCATCAACCCCAACTATATCGGATACGACTACATAGGCTGGTACGTCGGCAACGCGCGCCAAACAGTCTCTTACTTCGTGAACCACTACGGGTTCCACGTGCTAGCCTACCGCGGACCCGAGACAGGCTCCTACGCAACAGCATCCTACGTCGTCGGCAACGGCGCCGCGTGGTTTCTGTTCACTTCGCCGCTGCGCTCGCCTGATGGCTCGGACGGAGACACACGGGTGAGCGACGACGAGCGCCGCCTCTGCGCAGACATACACGCACACTTGACCAAGCACGGCGACGGCGTCAAGGATATCGCGTTCACGGTGGACGACGTGCGCGCCGTGTGGCAGCACGCTGTCGACAACGGGGCGGAACCCGTGCAAGAGCCGACTGTGCTGAAGGATGATGATGGCGAAATCCTCCTGGCATCGATCCGCACGTTCGGCGACACCATCCACACGCTCGTCAACCGATCCGCCTACCAAGGCGCCTTCCTCCCGGAATACACCTGGACCCCCCAGCGCAGCGACAGCTCGCACGAATCTCTATCATCTCTCCTCCCCAACATCGACGTCGTCGAGATCGACCACTGCGTGGGGAACCAGCCGTGGAATGGGCTCGAGGGGGCCGTGCGGTATTACGAGAAAGCGCTCAACTTCCACCGGTTTTGGACAGTCGATGATAGCGAGATGTGTTCTGACTTTTCGGCGATGAATTCTGTGGTCGTGGCGTCGCCGAATGAGGTTATCAAGATGCCTATGAATGAGCCGGCGGCTGGGAAGAAGAAGTCGCAGATTGAGGAGTTTGTCCTCCCTTATACCCTGAAAGGGAGGGGGAAACAACCCCCCCCCAAAGAGAGAAAAAGGAATATACTAACAAGGGAGCAGGTTCTGCGACTACTACAACGGCTCCGGCTGCCAACACATCGCGCTCCGCACGCCCAACATAATAAACGCAGTGCACAACCTCCGCCAGCGCGGCGTCGACTTTCTCTCCGTGCCAGACACATACTACGCCGACGTGCGGGCGCGTCTACAGCGCGCGGGCACAAACGTCGCCGAGGACATCGACACGCTGCAGCGGTATAACATCCTGATCGACTTCGACGAGGGCGGGTACCTGCTGCAGATCTTCACGAAACACGTCGGGGACCGGCCGACGGTGTTTCTGGAGATTATCCAGCGGGAGAATTTCGAGGGGTTTGGCGCGGGGAATTTTAAGAGTCTTTTTGAGGCGTTTGAGAGGGAGCAGGCGTTGAGGGGGAATTTGTGATTTACTACTTTGGTTTGTGGATGTGTTGTTATTGATAGATGGGGTATGGTGTGATAATAGGTTAGGTTGAGATGGTATGGGAGTGGGATGGCTCTCTGGAGGGATTAGACGATGGTAGAGCTGGATGGTGCTGTTATAGTATGGATTGAATGAACGGACTATATCATGTCTGCCGTGACCCAGCGAAGATAGAGAAGCCTGAACCAACGGGAAATGTAGCCGTTACTAGGCTGTAGAATATTCTAATTTGCATACTCCCTTGTCCTTTATACACCCAACACAATCCAGTCACCCGAAAAGTAGTCGAGAAAATGGATATTAAATTCCTACCAAAATATATAGAAAAAGAAGAAGACACCAAAACGTCACATTTTATCCCTTCGTTTCGTTTCATGCTTGAATTTTTTAAACCTTCCTACTGGTTCTCCGCCTGTCGCGTCAGCTCCTCGATATTGACCTGCGGCTTGGCGGACCCGGAGCAGGCCGCCTTGGCGGCTGCTACGGCGGCGTCGTTGCCGCTGTGGTTCAGGAGATCCAGAGCCTGCAGATCCTCGTCGGTGAGGGTGTTGGACCGAAGGGGACGGAAGGGGGCTGGGGAGCCGGCGCGGCTGGTGAGGAACTGCTTTTGTTAGAATTATCTTTTCTTGAAGGAAGGTAAGAAGGAAGAAAGGTGGGGGGAAGAACATACAGAGCTGGCGGCGCTGAGGAGGGCGATCAAACTGGCTTGGACGACATCCTGGTGGATACCGACACCCCACACTTGCTCCTTGCTGCCGGCGGCCGTGCACTGGATGAAAGTGGCAGCCTTCACGTCACGACCAAGACCCTTGGCGTTGCCGATGGAGTGCTCCTTGTAGTCGACGACGTCCAGGTCGATGCCGAGGTTGGCCAGCGCGTGGGCCAGCGACGAGATGGCACCCGGGCCGACGCCCGTGATGGCGTGCTGGATGCCGTCGATCTCGACGACACCGGTGAAGCGCCGGCGCAGGTTCTTGGTGTTGAGGGCCTTGCCCGGCTCGGGCGGGGCGGGCGAGGTGGAACGGTCGGTGGTGATGTTGTAGTCGACCAGGTTGAAGCGGGGGTTGGACTTGAGATGGTAGGCCTCCTCGAAGAGGGAGACGATCTCGGCGGCGCGCAGCTCGCGGCTGACCTCCTCGGTACGGCGCTGGACGACCTTGCTGAACTCAACCTGCAGGGCGCGCGGGAGATCCAGCTCCAGGCTGCGCAGGATGACCCAGGCGGCGCCACCCTTGCCGCTCTGGGAGTTGACGCGGATGACCGCCTCGTAGTTCCGGCCGATGTCCTCGGGATCCAGCGGCAGGTAGGGGATGGTCCACTCAGTCTCCTCGTCGGCGGTCTGGCCGTTCTCGCGCAGCTTGAAGCCCTTCTTGATGGCATCCTGGTGGCTGCCGCTGAAGGCGCAGACGACGAGCTGACCACCGTAGGGCCAGCGCTCGTTGACGGGGATCTTGTTGCTCTCCTCGACGAGCTTGATGACGGCGTTGATGTCGGAGAAGTCGACCTGGGGCGAGACACCCTGGGTGTAGAGGTTGAGGGCCAGGGTGACCAGGTCGACGTTGCCGGTACGCTCGCCGTTGCCGAACAGGGTTCCCTCGACACGCTGCGCGCCGGCCATCTGGGCCAACTCGGCGGCGGCCACGGCGCAGCCGCGATCGTTGTGGGGGTGGACGGAGACGACGTAGGTGTCGCGGTCGGAGACGTGGCGGCAGAAGTACTCAATCTGGTCGGCGAAGACGTTGGGGGTGGCCATCTCGACGGTGGCGGGCAGGTTGAAGATCATGGGGGCCTCAACGGTGGGCTCCCAGGCGGCCTTGACGGCCTCGCAGACCTCAGCGGCGAACGCGGGCTCGGTGTCGGAGAAGGTCTCGGGGGAGAACTCGAAGTGCCACTCGGTGCCAGCCATGGCGGGGTCGTCCTTGGTGATGGAGCGGGCATACTTGGTGCAGCGGACGGCCATCTCCAGACTCTTCTGCTTGTCCATGTTGAAGACGATGCGACGGAAGCACGGGCTGGTGGCCAGGTAGATGTGCAGGATGGCCTTCTTGGCGCCCTTGAGGGAGTCGACGGTGCGGCGGATCAGATCCTCACGGCAGGGCGACAGGACCTGGAGCCAGACGTCGTCGGGGACAACGCCGGGGGTCTCGACCAGACGGCGGGTGAAGTCAAAGTCGATTTGCGACGCGGAGGGGAAGGAGACCTCGATCTCTTTGTAGCCAATCTCGACGAGCTTCTTGAAGAAGCGCCATTTTTGCTCTCCGTCCTATACATCAAACAATCAGCACGGTATATCAAATATCTTAGAAAGAGACAGTCGCATACCATCGGATCCGGCAGACTCTGATTCCCATCTCGAAGGTCGGTGGCCAGCCACCGCGGGGCCTTATCGATCACCTTATCGGGCCATTGACGGTTGGGGAGCTGGAGGGGTTTGAAGGGCTTATATTTTTTGGAGGGATCTTTCAGCCTGATAATCAATTAGTTCATCCATTGCGATTGAAAGGGTCCTTGATCATTTGCGATCAATTCTCGCATGGTGGGGGGTTCACGTACATAGGCATGGTGGCGGTATATGTATCGGAGGTAAATCGGAGCGAGAAAGAGAGGCGGGGTAGGGGAAGAGACGGGAGAAGAGACAGGTAAAAAAGAGTATAGAGAGAGGAGGAAAGTAAGTACAAGGAAGAGTATAAGAAGGAATGGCAGACGAAGCCAATAAAAGATGTGGTATTGAAAAAGAAGCTGTCGTGAGTCACGTCGGTTTAAAAGCTTCAAGTCG